AAACACGCTAAAAAATATGAAAATTACATTTTACCAAATATATTCGAATTTTTAAGTGATTTGCTATTGATTTTTTAACTGTTATGTAATTTACGGATAATTGCAATGTTAATTAATTATTAATTTAATTTTTAATTCGCTAACAAAAATAATATTGGACTTAATTGACCTTTTTATTTTGATACTCCCAAAGCAGTGATTAGCTGGACCTGGACTAAAGTTGTCAGTAATAAAAAGCAGAAATATAAATCAATTTGGTGGGGCCCAATCCTAGAGAAAATTAAAGCTAACAAAAAAAATAAAAATAAATAAATAAAAGACAGATATAGTAAATAAACAAGTGGGCCATATCATTATGTCTCACTTACTTTCCCTAAACTATCCCTAAACACTTAAAAACCTAAACACTTAAAAACTTAAAATGCGAAACGTTGTCAGTCGACCCTTGTGTTCAAAGGCTATAAATGTCTTTTAACAAATAATAAGGCATGTGTCTATTCATCTATTGTAACATTTTCTATTCATTAAATTATTATTCTTAATTAAAATATTTATTCTGTATCCAATTATTTTTTATTTATATATGATTATTATCATTAAATTATTCTTAATTAAAATATTTATTCTGTATCCAATTATTTTTTATTTATATATGATTATTATCTGAGAGCAAAGAAAGTTTTTTTTTTTTTTTAAAAATTTATTTTTGTTGGTTCGTAAGTAAAATAAATCTAATCTCTTGTGTGGGCTGTAATAGGATGGAGTAGTAATCCAGTGAGTGCAAAGCGGTACCATTTCATAATCAAGTCCGACGATGGGAATTCAATCGGTGGCTACAACAAAACCTGTGCTGGCTGTGGCGAATCCCTTCATATCACCGACTCCAAGTGAGAACGAATCATCTCGTTGGTTTATGTAAATAATGGGAGATTCGACAGTCCCGAACCATTCCGTCGGGTTTGTAACCGTTAGACGGCGGTTAGATGATGATCTAACGGTTATAAACCCCGACGGGACTGTAGCATTTCTCTGTAAACAATGTATTCAGTTATTTTGATTTTTCCCGAATTCTTGCCCAGGTGCAAGTCATGCAACCATGTCATGACCACCGAGGATGTCGAGGACTGGATGTATCAGCAGCTAGAGAACACAACAACCCATCTGCTGCACGGTGTGATCCACGCCAATGGCTACGGCCATCTGCTTAGAGTCAACGGGAGAGAAGGTGGGTCCCGCTTGCTTTCGGGCCGCCACATAATGAACTTCTGGGATCGTCTTTGCGAAACGCTTGGGGTCAGGTTGGAAAACATTAAATCCATCCCATATTTATTAGGTTTATGTATCTGTAAATTTTCACAACGATGCTTCTTGATGCAATAGGAAAGTGAGTGTGATGGACGTGTCGAAGAAGAATGGACTGGAGTTCAGGTTGCTTCACGCGGTCATCAAGGGCCACCCGTGGTATGGTGAGTGGGGATATCGATTTGGTGCCGGAAGCTTTTCGTTGACCCTCGATGACTACAGGGCAGCTGTTGCCAGCCTGTCCTCGCTGCCCCTGTCAGCATTCCAATCTCAGGGGAGGAAGCCCCGGACATGCCTTCAGGACATGATCTCGTTTTACCAGTCCGTGTCTGAGCGTGAGCTCGTGAGCGTCCGGGACCTCTTTACTTTCCTGATGAGTTTGATTCGTGATGTTCGCCACCTAACCCACCTCAAGCTAGACGAGTCTTCTCCGTGCAAGAAGCAGAGGACCTGCGAATCGAGGGCGTTGTGTTCCTGGACGGTCGATGATGTGAGACGAGTGGAGGATGCTATGTTAAAGGTGTTGCGTGCTGTGAGTGGGTCCAACTGGGTCGGATGGCGTGCTCTCAGAGGTGCAGTTTGCAAGGCGGGTAGCCCCAAGCTTCTGGATTACTGCCTTAAGGAACTGAAAGGGAAACAGGCGGCTCCAGGCTTGGTTGTTGCTGCCCGTTGCATCTCTGACTCGGGCGCCATGGAGTATAGGTGAGTGTCCTTATGTTGGTGATACTTTGCCATTTTCTTTTTTACTTTCTCTGGTTATTTAGCATGAATAATCTGTTCAGTTCTACAAATATAAACAGCCGAGATTGCGTTTAAACATAGTTGATGCTATGTTTTACAGCATATGATGCTATCTGTAAGATCTACTATGTATGGCGATGCCATTTTTGGTAACTGCTAATTGTAGCAAAATAATGCAGTGGTGAAATAGCATCATACAGTTTTCTTACTGTTCCTAAACTAGAAACTGCTTCTTATTAGTTATTACATCCTATGCACGCCAGTCTTA